ATAAATTATTTTAGAATTTGTTATATCATTTATGTGAAAAATTGTAAACTTCAATTTATTATTCAAGGATATGTTATCTTCACATAAATTAAAATTTAAACAATAATTTGTTCTAAGGATGACTCCTTCACACAATCAATCAAATATAATTTCAAGGGGTAACAAATAATGATGTTAAAAAAAAGATAATAAAACTTTTAATCTTTTAAATTTATCTTAATTTTTAATTTAATCCTTCAAGTTTAACTTTTCTAATTGATTTGGTCCCTTATTTTTCTTAAATTATTATGTTAGTTTTTTAAGTTTTAAAATATAAATTTACTCCCAAATTGATCTAATATGTAAAGTGTCTTGATAATTTGACATGCATATATAACTAAATAAGAATAAATTAGCACTCAAATCAATTTAACCTTTATTAATCGAGTCCATTGTGGTGTGTTTTGTTCTTTTTTCTCTCAAAATTTCAAGGTCCTTTTTTTTCTCCATAAATAGTTGTACTTCTTTTCATTAATCTATATGATTGCCATCAATATTTGGTTATTTATGTCAACAGATTTTAATGGCATTACATCTCATTTAAATTTGATAATTAACTATTTTGTTATAAAGAAAACGTGGTCATGCTCTTTTATAGAGTATAGAAAAGCATAACTTAATCAAAAGCCACCAAGAAAGACCCCCGAAAGAAGTTACTCTGTACTGCATAGGATTTATTTTAATTCGTTTAGGCCTAAAATATTATATAGATTGAGTTGAACATAAGGCGTACATCATGCAGAAACTTAATCAGATGAACCTGTCACATTAAACGAGCTTAGTTGGATAATTTGTTATTTAGATGTGACATGAAATAAAACGGGTCAATGATTGGGGGCGCTGATGCGGAAATAATAATTCAAATTACTTTATTTTCTTAATAAAATGGTTGTTTGAGGATTATTAAGAGATATCCATTTTTCTACGGTTTGTTGTGTCTGTTGACTTTTGCAACAATCACTATTCACGAATTCAGTGTATTCACTTACTGCCATCTTTACTGTGAATGTGACTTTTTGGAGAAAAATATAGATGCTATATTTTTTTTATTTAAAACCGTGTTACTCTTTTAATTTTATTAATAATAATAATTACTTCTTTTATTAAAAAATATAAAATATTTTTAATTACATTTTATTTTTAATAAAATAATTATTTATTTTTAAATTAATCTCATCTTTTCATTTTTATTTTTATTTAATTGATAAATTATTTTACTCTAAAATAAATATAAAATGATTTATTCAATAAGAACACTTTTAAAAAATATAATTATATTTTAAAAAATTAAAAAAATTTACATATTTTGACAGAGAGAGTACTTTTAACATATTTTATCTGAATCTAAAAAAAAATCTTAACAGAGAGTTAATGAAAAAATTATGATAATAATTTTATTTAAAAATTTAATAATTTCTCATCTTTATCTTTATATTAAATAAATATATTTTAATAATATATTTTAAAAATATTGTTAATATCTTTAAATTTTTTTAAAAATTACATGACTTTTTAATAATTAAATGACAAAGTAAAATATATTTACGGCTTAAAAGTTTTGTCAATAACTCAATGTAATAAAAAAGAACAATATTAAAAAAATAAATCAACTATATTTACTCTATATTTAAAATTTAAAGTTTTATAATTTTGTGTTAAGCTTAAAATAAAAGGTTTTAGTTACATAAAATGAATAGACCTAACTGTAACTCGTCTCATTTATTCATAAGTTAATATGTAATTTAAATTTAGAACTATAAATGTAAGGAATTTAAACTTTATATTCTTATTTGGTATACTTTAAAACCTGAACAATTAAATTTAAAATGATCTAACAATAACTGTTAGTTTGGAATTAACGTTTAACGTCTATTAGCAGGGTCCACATCTTCTCTCACCCACTTCGTTTCTCAATCCTGCCAATGACCACAAGAGCTCCTCCACTTGAAACACTGTCGACAAGTAATGGACCGAGCAAAGGAACTTGGTACACCATTGGCGTTCAGGATTTAAATATAACGAAGGCAAAGGAAAGCTTGTTTCTTGCCATAGAGAGCGGCTCGGAAGAGGGGCAGAGGTGTCTTGCATTGCCATTACTGTAATATTTTCCTTGACATTATTAAAATACACCATATGCTCTATCATGGTAATTAGATTAGTCAAATCCTTAGATTATATTATCACAATAAAAAATGGTTAAATATAAAATTATAATTTGAAAAATAGTTATAAAGATCAGCAATCATAATAAACTCTTTTTCAAATATTATTTAAACTCAAATATAGAATAAAACAAAATAAAAACTTTATCAAAGCATGGCAAAATATTAAACAAGCAAAAGATAGCATCAAAAGGGAAAAATGAGCATTTCACCCATCCTAGCCAATTCACTACGGCACATGTATTCTCCACCACAGTGAATGATACAAAGAGGAAAGCTTCCTTTTTATACTATGTGTTACAGCACATGTCCTATGCATTGTGGTGTGTATCACAATAGCTGTTATGACAGTAACCTAGAACCGATTTCTAAGGTGATCCTAGCCAAAAAAAAATACTCTAAAGTGATCTTTTTCATCATTTAATGTTCAATTTGAACAATTCAAATATTTACATATAGTTAATTGAATTACCTAACTATTGACATTGGTTTCGTAACAAAATAATGAAATATTATATCATTAAAAAGTTGGACACTGAAATACAAAAAGATTACTTTTCAAATTAAAATGTTTATTTTGTTGTTCATAAAAAAAGTTTATTTTGTTTCCAATCGACCCCTCATTTTCTCATTTACTTTGGGTACACCAACACTAAACAGTCATATTCAACCATCCTGCTATCAAAATTCGTTTCTTCCTCTCCATTTTTCAGACTTTCCACCAGAAAACAGCTATGGTCATGGCTGCTTCTTCTTCTAAAGGATATAAATAAAAATTTTTAAAAGCTAAAAAGAAGAAGAAGGTGCAAATATAAAATTCCTGTAACTTTTTGCTAGCATGACATCCTATTCGCAAAGAAGAGAAGCTGTCTCATTGTAGTAAATTATAATGGTGTTCTCGTTTTGCAATGAAAAATTTAATTTTCTTGGCAACAATATATTTTTACTTTTCAAATTTCATTAGAATTTTACTTTTATTGATTAACTTCATTTAGTTTCAATTTCATTTCTTAATTTTATCCTTTTTATTTCTATCACTCAACTTCAATTAGTTTTCAATTCCTTTCTTTTTTCTTTTTAACTTTATCTCAAGTTTTACTTCCACCCAATACCTCGAATTACATCCCACATATATTTTATTGAAAACAATATTTTGGGTGGGGGGAGATGGAGGGAGTTGGGCTAGATTCGATATTGAAGGCAAGGCCCATTAACTGGACTCCTAAGCTTGATTGTCTTGACGTGCTTGCTTTTGCAAGGAAATTAGGAAGGATTAAGCCTCTCAACAACTATGGTTTAAAAAAAAAAAAAGTCCTCTCAAGTCTCTACAATGTGTGTGTGTGTCTATATATATCTATATGTAGCCGCATATCAATCTACAAATGTGAAATAATAGTTAGGTGTTACTTGTTAATTAGAAAGGAAAAAAAAATGAATAAGGATCTTATATCTATGGCAAAGTTTAATCAAGTTTATTCCTTCTTTTCAGCGTCTAAGTTATATATTACTTGTAGATATTAAGAATAATTTTATTATACTTATAATATTACTTATTAAAATCATATGTAAATTGCATAATTAGACTTTGAGCTGTACTAAGATGTAAGCTATACTATGTACGAGTAACGTACTTCTGCAATGGCATGAAATGCGCTCGAGTCCACACGCGCGCGCTTATTGGGCCTCGTGATAAAGTTCGCGAAGCGTAGTCCTTTTCTCAAATGCGACTGAAACTCAGGCAAGACTATTGACATGGATTGGGTATTTTCGGGACTAATCATATCCTGTATCCCAGCCCAGTTATGATAGGACAAAACCAGAAAATATTGATAGAGTGAAAGAGAGTTGAAGAAATAAAAATTAACTAACAAACATTTACAACCATATCTGTATTTTAAAATTCTAAATAATTAGGCACACATTTTTTTTTACTTGAAACTAACATAAGACCACAAGTGATAATAAACTAACAGAACAAATCAGCCAAAGAGACTAAAAAATATAACCTAATTGTAACACAACATTTATCAAATTATATAATTTTTAAATGCAAAAAACATAAGTGAATGATTATAAAGCACAATTAGCCAACTAAATTTAATTATTAAGTTACAATAACCATAAATTTAAAGTGAATAACACATTTTTTTTCAAAAATAATATATAGACTTATTCGGGACAGAGCGTCCTTGCATTAAACTTGAAGCCATTCCCGTCCTGAGTGTAGTTTTGTTTGGCTTTTTGATGTTTCGTCCCAACAGTGTAGGAATAGAGAAACGCCAATCAGGACGGTACTCCGGTCGACACCCCTAACTACTATGTACGACGTAAGACTTAGGGCAGGTTTGTATTATCCATTAAAGCTAGAGGAAGCTCAAAATCAGGATTTGCAAAAGTTCGATTCATCAACCTCACATGTTGAAAGAAGAAACTAGAAGGAGAAAAGACATAGGTAGAATGGGGTAGGTCCCACCTATGTCATTGTTGCCTACCTCGCTGATTCCACCTGCGCAGATCTGTCCAGGCGAGTTTATAAATCATATAACATAGCAGCGCACCCGTTTCGATCTTTAACATGCTATATGACTGTATGGATTTAATCCATAGTAGTGTAGTACTGTGTTATCCGTGGAATGTTTATGTTTAAAAGTAAAGAAATCTAAGACTCATGCTTTATCGAAAGGTGGCAGTGGCACTTTGCTGCTTCCATGTGGCCTGGGCCAAAGTTTGGCCCCTCTCTCTGATGACGATGATGATCATGATCATGAGCTTCAGCTTCACTTTCACTACACCATGGTTGCAAAGGATCAGAATTCAGAACCAGAGACAGCAACTGTGGAGGGAAAAGCAAACGACGTCGTCATCTTTCGTACCCTGTCTAGGATTCCCTCCACACGCCATCATTACTTCTTCTTCCTACTTTTTCCCTCTTCTTTACAAACCCAACACCTTCCTTTCCATCTTCACAAATCATTCACACTCTCACTCCTTCTCCTGAATCCTAAACGACATTCGTTTTCACCTCTTATTTTACATTCCTTCGTCTTCCTTCCACTTCTTCCATGGCAGCAACAACACCTCGATCCATCCCCGACATTCCCATTGATTTCCGAGCTCCTCCGCCCTCTCCCATCGCCTCCGGCCGCCGTTCCTCCTTCGCTAACGACGACGTTCTCACCGAGTTTCTCGAGACCTCGCTCCGTGTACCTGACCTTATCCTTCCCGACAAGATCTTCCCCAAACAAAATTGCCTCGAGACGCCTCCCAAGGTTGATTTTAGATCCTTGTGCTCTGATCATGACGACGCTGCGTCATTGTCCGACGTCGTTTCCGACTCTCTGGCGAGAATCGGATGTTTTCAGCTGGTGAATCATGGAGTCCCGCGGGAATTAATGACCTCGACTAGGGAGGTTGCTGCGCGGGCGATATTTCAGGTCTCGCCGGAGAAGCGAGCGACGGTGACGAGATCGCCGCCGGAGAAACCGTGGGGGTTCGAAGAGTATCATTCGGATGAGGACGGAAGTGAGTTGAGCGAGGAGTTCGTATGGTGCAGAGATCATGACTTAAAGTTGAAAATGGAGGGAATTTCGCAAATCGGATATTCAAAATTCAGGTAACACCAAATCATGTTACTGTATTTTCACAATACTAAACCGATCCGACCCTCAAAATCTCGTCCATTCAACCATATTGAAGGATTGATTGATACGAAATAAAACAAATTTAAACACTCAAATACAAGGAAGAACCAGTAAACTATTGAATGAATATATTGACACTTTAATAAAATATTTTGTTCATATCACAGCCTTGCTATACAATTTTGATTATTAATCTCTGAATCAATATCTTAACAGATTCACCAATCCAGTTTTAAGTACGTAGGCACTTAAATTGAAGTATTATTCTCTCTCTCTCTCTAATATATATATATATATATTAAATTATTCATGTAACTGGATTCTTTAGTTGAGGTTCTATCCCTGCATATGAAACTTCTTTGTTCTCTGGACATCCCTGAAAATTTAACTGTTGCAGCAAAAAATCTTGTAGTGCAGATGGTGTGTACAGTATAGAAAGTGAAAAACAAACACATTATAAGCTTATGTGACACGCAAAGCAAGGGAGAGAAAAAGTAAAGAGATAGTGAAATATAGCAAGTAAAGGTGGGGCATAATGATTTTAAGTGCCTGCAGATAAGCTGTAATTTCACCTTTGGTGTGCAAATCACTTTACTACTCTACTGTTGAAAAGCACATGTCATCATGAAAGTTCTGCTCTACATATTAATTATGTCCCAAAACAGTGAATAACATGCACGCTTGGAAATGTGATTGATAGATCTCTCTCCTTTTACTTGCAGCAAGGAGATGGAAGCTCTGATGTCAGGCATAGAAAAGGTGGCCGAGAAAATTCTGCCGGTGATGTTGAAGAATTTTCCCGGAGAATTAGTTACAGGTGGCACTGATGATGAAGAATTTGGGACAGTATGTTGTGTTTATAAGCACAGCCAGGATAGTATGGCAGAGGGATGGGCTAATTCTTTGAAATATGATGTGATCAGAATGCTGATAAGAGGAACAGATTACTCTCACGCCTTGTGCTTGCATGTATGTGATGGGTGTTCAGAGTTTCACGTTTACTCTAAGAAAGGCTGGCTCTCTTTCTGCCCTGAACAAGGCGCACTTATAATCACCGTTGGAGACCAAATCCAGGTTCATTTTCACTTCTTCTCTACTCTGTACTTACCTGTTTTTCAATCTGCTTGAAAAACATGGCTTTCATCAACTTAACTCAAAATTTATATCCTTACTCACCGTTATCACCACTTTATTCATTCGTCATTATTATCACATTGTTACGTTAGAAACCTATTATTCCCACAAACCTTGACTAAAGTTGACAATAATTTTCTTAGTGGAAATAAAAATCTAAAAAAATTCACTAGCAGTCCCATGCAAGCAATCTTAACAAGAAAAGTTCCATGAAATCACAATTATTTTAAAATCACAGCACGTTATTTACTGAAGTTATCAACAACTATTAAATAGTTGTTAATTATTACTACTTAATTGTTAATTGAATAACTTTACTACCAACTATTCAATAGTAAATGGTAACTTTAATATGATAAATTGACAATTTCAATAAAAGACATGAGATTTCGAGATAATTTTATCATTTCTTGAGATATTTTTGTATTTAGACTTTTTGTGTGAGATTTGAAGGTGTTTTTCAAAAAAAAAAAAAAAAAGAATCTACACAAACCTTGATTCAAATTGACTAAAATTCTAGAAACTACAAACTATAATTTTTTCCATGGATTTTAATATAATTCTCTTCAGTAATGGAATAAAGGGGTGGAATGGAACATGGTAGTATCCCCTTGATTAGCGAGAAAAAGAAGTAAATAAGTTTGTCCTCGTGCATATAATTAGATTTCACCTTTAATTGAAATACAAACATAATGCTTTAAGCTGCTTTTATGTCGACTTTATTACATGGTACATGATCATTAGGATCTTTTTGTTCATTATTTTAATATATAATGACAGCTAATTGGGGTAGCGTCATAATGTGATATAGTAAACACGAGGGACCCCAATTCATGAGTAAACAAAATGGTGACAAATCACACTGTTCTATCTCTTAATTAACAAATTTTTTTTTTTTTTTTTCGTGGGGGTGGTTTTCTCGTTACAGGCAACAAGTGGTGGGCTCTACAAGCAGGTGATTGGAAGGCCAATCTTGAAAGGAGAGAAAGATCATGACAGTATTTCAATAGCTTTCCTTTATTCTCCTCCAAGCAACAGAAACAGTTCTCCATCCAAAAAGGAAAGAACTATATCATTTGGCCAGCAAGCTTTGTTAGCTATAATTCTGACCCTAATCTTCCAATTCTTCATTTTTGTCTACAAGAAATGTTGATCACAATCTTGTTTTGGAGAATTGTTGTGCACAGTTCAGTACAAATTACACGAGTCATATCTATTTATATGTGGTGATTACAAAGATTATTGAGAGTCTTCTTCATATATAGAGCATAATAAATATTAATTTTAATAAAGAATTGCTCGGACGGGGAATCAATATGGCGCTCTCCAAGGCATAGAACGTAGAAGAAGAAAAAAGTTGCTTCCATATCTAAGTGCTTTGAAAATTCTATTGAAAAAAAAAAAGTTGTGGGATTACTAACATCATTCCAAACACTTTATAATTACAAGCTTATTGAAATTATTATTTTTTATATGGTTATTTGGTTGGATCATATTCGAGTTTTGTTAAATCTAATTATAGGTACCTCTTCTAAATATATTTTCTGCTTTTACACATATTTGAACTCAAAATTTCATGTTTAAGAGGCTATAATCCGTTTGACCCAATTGATTATGTTTAAATAACTTTACTTCCAAGTAACTGCAGTTTAGTGAAGTAACGCTTAACCTGGTTGATCATATTGAGTAGATTAGCATGACCTGGCTGTTTCGTGTTTGAATTCATCTTGCTTTTAACGACCCAAACACACACACACAATCTGTCCAATTAAAATGTTATAAATAATCTAAATAAAATTTTGTGTGGCATTTTTTTAATTGATTTTTTTTATAACAGCATCCACATTTAATTTATTATTTTTTCTCTCTCTCTTATTATTAATATCATAATGAATTTATATTTAATGACATCTAAATGACATATTTTTATTGAATAAAATACAAATGACGTGGTACATTCAATCTATCTAAAATTTTTTCTAATAATAAGTAATTAAGAGGTTGTTTAGTTAGTTAATGAATGTAGAATAAAATCTATTTGGGCGTAAAATTTTATGACACTTATAAAATGCCTCATAATAAAGACCATGAAAAATAGATGTTACAAGAAAGATGAGGGAAAGTTTTATCAAATAAAAAAAACAAAGAGAGAGAAAGTAACATGTGGGTTTCACAGATGAAGTGTTCCAATTTCAAACAACCTAATTACCTAAATAAGCTGAACAGTTGAAATATATGAGAATTTGGATTTAACGACTGTATGTGCCTGTAAGATTTGAACTTTTAAAATTTAAATCAATGATCACGGACTTAGACTTCATTTGAGATTAATGAATAAGTGAGTTTATTTAAATTATTGACCTGGATTCTAATAGCTCAGATGATATAAATATTCATTACCCATATTAAATATAGTCACTGGATTCCAATTCAATATGTGATGGCATTTATAAGGACAGGGCACAAAATCACAAATGCTACAGCTCCAATTTAAAACAACCAAAATAAATCATTGACGGGAAACGCTTTGTTGCTAATTGATAAATCATGTCATTTTCGCTGTTTTTGATATTACTCAAACAGAATGACACCAAATCAGCTCATAATTTGGCGCCCAATTAGGGTGGCCAGCCCAATACCCAATATGACAAGCTGTGTAGCACTATTTGCAATGGATAAAAGGCATATTTTGCATATAAATACGTATAAATTTTGGATTATATTTATTAATTTTATATACTTTTTCCTTGTCACTTAATTATAAACTAAATAAAAAACTTTATTCTAAAATTTACTTGTATCTTCTTGTTTTTGTATCATGCAACCAAAAAAAAATAATTGAAGAAGAAAAATAAAAGAAGACAATCAGGGGAATTAGATATTGGATATATTAAAGAATGAGATAAAATTTAGGCATGATCTATCCAGATTCTAAGCCAAAGAGAGATGAAATAATTATAACTAAACATTTCAAAAACCTCTCAAATTATCCAATCTCATATCCTAAGGCTAAAATGTATATTACAAATATTGGAAGGGTTTTTTTAAAAAAAAAATTGACAGTTTCCCTCTTTTCCTGTAGATTTTGTTTATGTCCTTTATTTATAATTTTAATTTGAACTCTATGAGTTGTTTCTAAGCTCTCAATTAAGATAGGATGTAACCTAATTAAGATGGATTTTGCTGGTTTATTTTGTTTTATTTATTTTTCCTATTGAACTTAATTTTTTGTCTATGAAAATTTATTGTCTATATTTATATTTATCTTTCTTGTCTTAATTACTTTTTTATATAAAACGGCCACTATATAATCTATCTATGGGTTGAATTGAGAGGTGAAGAATTAATTTAGACATAGAGAGATAGATATGGATAACTAAATTAGAGATAATTTAAGATGTATGGTGACTTAAATTGCAGTTTCATGGTTTATTCATTGTCTTAATAGGATTAATAAGAACTAATTTAACCTTAGATAAATATACCCTAACATACTGAGAGGTAATTAGAATATTTTAGTAATAATTGTAACTACAAATAAAGAGAAACTAATTAACTAAATTAGAGTAAACTATCACAATAGGTGAATCCTAATCTTTGGTGCTTGTTTGATTGGCTAATTCATAATTTTTATCATTGTTATTTGCATTCTTTTTTTAATTGTTAAATCTCCTTATTACTTATTGGTTCTTTGAAAATAATAGAGTGTTATTGTTTTCCCTTGTGTTCCACTTTTGGAATACTCCAAAAATTATTACTATATAGACACAGAAGCAATCAGCAATTTATAAATAAATAATGCAGTTTTGATTTTCTAACTTTACATAAAATTTCAGTTTAGTTTTTCAATTCTATGAAGTATTTTTTTTTGTCATTTAATTTTAGCACTGTTTATCTTATCAATGAAAAATAAATGTTATACTTTTAAATACTACTGTCTTAGTCCCTATTATAATGTGCTTTTTATAAGAATTTTTTGATCATTAATGTAAAGTATCCGGTGAAATATTAATTATATTTTGTTAATATTATTCTTATTTCAATTTATTAATTATGAAAAAAATGTAATACAAATTTAATTTTTTTTTTCATTTAAATAAAAATAAAATAAAAAATTTATATTTTCAATCAAAATTAATGACTCAACCACTCTCCTTGCTTTTGGTGAGGTAACTAGGCAAGCCTTATAATAAGAAACAGAAAGAGTAATGGATTAAGTTTAATTTTTAAAAACATAAAATTATTGGAACAAAAGTGCTAATAATTATTCAAATTATTATTTATTTTTTCAAACATAGGTGGATTGTAGTTGGCAATTACATATATCTAGTTGACCTTTTGAAAATTCGACAAAATTTCAAAGCATGCGTAGATTCATTAACATCTTTTAATCACGTTAACTAACTAAACTGCAGACGTCACAATTTTGGTCAAAAAAGAAGCCTAAAACGGTCAGGTTTAACTACTAGTTTCCCGCCTCACCTCCGCCCGGCCTGGTTTTATTATGAACCCTAATGAAGAAGAAGAAGGGGTGAGGGTAAGAAATTCCTTGTCCATATGGCCATGAAACTAATCATTGACATCAAAACAGAACTTCACACGATTGGCATAGTAAGGTTTTTGATGAAGCTTTTCTACATCGCAATGATTACAAGCTTAGTCAACAAAATTTCTTGGAGCCTCTGACCAAGCCACTTCACATTTAGTCATCAAGAAACAGTTCGCCCATAGCAAACTGATGCAATGTAAAGGTTCTTTGCCCATTTCTCCTGCAAAAACCCATCATAACACGTTCTCACACACCATACCTCAAAAACCTACAAACAAAAGATTAAACGCAAACTAGGAAATAACAAACGATCCACCTTAACATGCGTACTAGGAAAAACCGTAGTCCTGAGGGTTTCCTGTGTTTCATCGGCAGGCTTCCTCCTCGGCACACTGAGCACAAAGGCGGCCTGGTCCCAAGTTGCAGCAGTCGCTGTTATGCGGTATCCATGATCCCAACGCTTGTGAATCCCTTCGCTGGGATAAAGGAAATCCAGTTCAACCACCTGAAATTAATAGGGCATCAATAATTGGTTATTTTTGCAACGAAGCTTAGCTTTGTAAGTATAACCCGTAGGATAAAGGCTGAGTCAAGCATGACCTGGTCAGAAAATCCGGCACCCCGTGACATAACTACTCCCCATCTGACCCCTGAGGTGGCCATTGCAGTAACATAAAAGCCTTCCCTCCATTTTTTGTTAATCCACTTGAAAGGAAATGAATCACTAACTTTATAAGATTGCTGTACAAATGATGTGCCTGGAATACACAAACTTATGTCATCAGCTGAAACTAATGTTAGTCTTTGCTGATGCACAACAGGATGATACTAGAGTAACTAACCCTTGGACATGATTACTAATGAGCTCCCGTTTGTAGCTCCAGCAACTGAACTGATGTAGTAATTTTTTTCCCACTGCTCCATTATCCATTCCTTCAACCATAAAAGAACAGTACACTACCAATTACTACTAATTAATAACCTCAAAGGGATGCTTCAGCAGTTCACGTTTCAAAAGCTTCACACCAACAAAAAATTAGCAAGTTATGAGCCATGCACTAAAAATTAAAAGCTCAGCCAGCAGATTAGATCACCTTATGGAGAAACTGAGGAGAAAGTTCATATACTTGGTCGCTGAAACCAGTGCCTGCATCCATGATTATGGCCCACAGGTTTGAACAAGAAGCGACACTGCTTATATACAAGCCATCCTCATTTCCCTTTTCAATGTGCTGGGAAAGCCTTACATCTGACACATTGTAGTGATATCTGCAATGCAAAAACAAGCAATCCTCAGGCACAAACAATTCTTTATATTAAATAATTTAAATAAATAGAGAATTGTAATGAAAACAACAACATCCGACAAATAAACAAACAAGCAGCGCAGTCTTGCAGAACAAAGTTCACACACTGTCAAACCAGTAAAACAATAATTCACAGAGACTACAATTAGATAAATAAACGCAGAATGTCTCATTGTATCAATTTATAAGTGCCACAATGCCAGAAAGTAGTGCATGCATACTGCATAGCATGGCCTACGACTTATAGGCACATACCTTTGTTTCATAGGTCTGCGAGCATTGTATATACTTATCCATTGTGTTGCTGGGAGACCCATTCGGAACTTCTTTTTTGGTTGCTCATCGTCCTCTTCTTCCATAGCCAACCGACCTCTCTTATGACCAATTAGCTTCACACAGAATAATGATAGCTTAGAATTCAATGTTAACCTCATAAAATTCAAACTAGAAATAGTGAAGGATCATCAGTACCTTTTGTGCACCTTCTGTATTTATGGGTCTAATGTCAGGATTTGGACCAACAATCCCATCAAACAGAGAAATATATTTTGCATAGTTAGGATCTTCGTCAAACTTCAAATTTACTACATGTTCAACAAAAAGCCTAAAAGGCTGAGGGCAGAAGCAACACAGGCACTCTGGAGTTGTTCCCATCTTCTTCTTGCAAACAAAAAACCCTTTGTTTTCTCCCTGAGAAAAACATGCTAAAGACTGAGGATCTGAATGGAGGCATAAGAACATGGAAACTAATTTAAAAATGTCCAACCTGGAACCCCTGCCAAGGAAGACGACCTCGAAGAAGGAAAATCAACGTATAAGCAAGGGATTCCAGATCATCCCTCCTGCTGGCAGTTCTCCCTAAATGTGCATGCACACTAGCATAGCGGACAGTGCCCCTAACAAATGGAATATCATGAGCCAAGAAACAATAAGTTAATATGAATATAGAAAAGTCAAGTTACGTTAAATATCTTAAATGGTTCAAGTTCAATCAATTCTACCTAAAAACATCTGGCCTTTGGTCATATTCCACATGTACACCTGTTGAATTATCCCGCCATCTAGAAGCTATTGGCCAAAAACATTTATTAAATGCTCCATTAAAATGGGAAAGAGACAAAACACTAATTGATAGATAATACTTAAAAAATACCTAATCCAAGATCAACAAGAAACAATCTTTTCTCGTCTGGGGTCCCTGGAGAACCGAGCAGAAAATTTTCAGGCTTCACATCCCCATGCACATACCTACAGTATTTGAATAGATATCGATCCATCAAAAAGCTGAAAGAATAGGAAATACTGCATCTATTTTAAAACACACACACACATTGAGCCACCGATAGTCTGATACAGAGAGATAAGCAAGCAGAACCACCCCTAACCACAGGAAATAAAAACAAAACTCCATATGGTAGACATTAAGAGAGTGAAAATGTCTCAGAAGGTAAAATAGAGGGAATTACCCGCGCGAGTGCATCTTCTCCAATATGGATATTGCTTCAATGGCAATACACGCAACCATTTCAGTGGACATTCTGAAATTGAATAACCAAATAAACTTAGCAACTGAAAATATAAAAAAACAGTACAGAGCATACAATTTGTACATATATGCCAGCTAATATTCAATAAACTCACGAATGAGAGTTATTATTCCAGACATCCCACAAGCTAGGTCCCAGCATATCCATAACCTGTAAGCGTAAAGGTCTTAAGTACAGGCATTTTTCAAACAAGGAGAAAGGTGAAACCAGATAGAAGAAAACTAAATTAGCCATCCAAAACTTTAGAATCAGCTAATAAACAAGATGGCCAAGTCACATACCATGATATAATAGTCACCTTGCCTGCCCTTGTAGTGTACTCTTGGCACACCATGACTACCACCTAGAGTGCTGAACAAATTGAAAAATATTCTTATTATAAAATCAATCATAAACATCAATCCACTCCACAAATAACTAGAGAAACAAAGAATTAAGAATCAACAAAGGGGAGCCATGAAAGAATCAATCATGTCACTCACTTGTATACTTGCCATTCATGTGGTGGCCCATAGTTACATCCTTTACTACTTCTATGCTCAAATTTCAATGCAACCTGAGGAAGAAGATAAAATCTGAGGTCTTCAGACATTAAACAAACAGAAAAACGCAAAGATATCACTTCTCATTCAATAATGGCAGGACAACTATACCTCCACAGCTCCAGGTCCAGTTCTCTCATTCATATTTACACCATTAACACGGTGACCAACATATACTTGTCCAAATCCACCCTTCCCCAGTTTTTTCTCTATCTTATACCAAGGGGAACCACCGACTTGAACCTGTCACCATAACAAGTAAAACAGACACACATCATAATTAAAACAGTCAGAAAAAGGGAAATTACAGAGAAGGTAACTCCCAGAAAAAAGGGTAATTATAAACCAGAAAACAATTCATGACCTTTAATCCTGCAACTAATATATATATATATATATATGAGAAAAGAGACTGCTCAATATAAATGCTTTCAATGTCAGAAAGTTCACTATTAATTCCCCCACGTACAGACCCACAGCATGTTTAGACTTTAGACATGTGCTACAAAACCCCAGACGTAATTTTCGAGCCCCAAAAGTAACTTGACTTTCACTTATAGGCAGTTGCAATTTGTAAATCATAATTACATGTGAGCAAACGGCCTCTTGTCCCTTCAACCCAATGGGAAAATAACAAACCGAAATTGAGTGTTCATAAGTGTTTGACTTTTAGTCTTTCTCGGTCATTGGAAACACTGCAGTTAAAGAAAACACAACTTCTGGTTTACGCCTAAAACTAGAGACAAATCGCGGCATCCATTTAATCATAAGGCATGGATGGATGAATCGGGTATTTGATCATGAGACAAAAGTAACACTCAGTAGTCAGAAGCAATCGCATTTACACAACAGGAACGCTAACATGCATTGTATGAACACTGAAAAATCCAAAATCTGCCTATCTAATTCAAATTATCGCTTTAAAGGGGCTCCTCTTTTAAAAGTGTCCACAACAAAGTGCTTATAATGCGTTAGACCTCATACCCTCTCAGGGACAGGAGCGGTGTTCCCCTCATCTTCACCAACATTGGCCTTATCGTTGCTCCGAGCTCCACTATCCTGATCACCCATTTTCTTCTCCTCTATCTCTTCCTTCTCCTCTCCGCAGTCGCCAACCACACCACCACTGGCCCCACCACCTGTGGTGCCAATACGGAGAAGAGCTTCGTCCAAACCCCTTTTCGCCTCCTCCTCCTTGGCCGGGACAACTACGTTGTCATTGACCGCATCCACCACTACCTGCTTCTGTTGCTGTTTCAGTTGCTTGTTATCCTTCGCCGCCGCCGCCGCCCTTCTCCTCCTTGTCCTCGTTGCAATCGCTTCGCCTTCTTCGATCGGATTAGGCTGCTTCTCTTGCTGTTGCTTCGCTGCTATTCGGCCCCTGCGCACTCCACTACGCAGCACCGGCATCGTTCATCCTTCAAATCTCATCCCACTCTCAGGAATACCAAATAAAATATTAAAAAAATAGAAATTTTGCGGCGCCAAGTTACTATACCTCCTTCCGACGACACCCGCCAAATCCAGCACCAAAAACTCGAACAAAAACTTTCAGATATTCGATTCAGACCCTGTCAATTCCGGCCAAAACCAAAATGCAGCACTGCAATGAAGGAAATTCGACCAGTCCAACTAATGCATCAAACAGGTTCCGGTGTTTTTCCTCTAGAATATCTGGAACCCCACAATCTGCAAACAGCGGATCGTGGCATCCAAATTAGGGTTTTCGAAACGATTACACTGAAAATGAAGGAATCAAGGCGTGGAAGGGTAACGAGATAGAGATGGACTGGGGGAAATGCTTGATTACTTCCAGGGAACGAGAACACAGCAAATTAATTTTTATATAATATACTCTGTGCCAGGGGGCGAAAAAAAAAAAAAAGCATGAATGAATGTAGTTATGTGTGTAATGTGCTTGTGTATTTCCCTGACGTTCGCTCGAGACCGTTGATGGTCTTAATCATACGGCTAGAAAAGGGCTTAAAAAAACTATCATTTGAAAGGGAAACTCATTCGGACCAGTTTGGGTGCTCTAGCTCTGATAAGATTTGAATTATTTAAATTTTTTTGATAATCCAAATTTAATTTATTATTATATATTATATTTTAAAAATAAAAATTTAATATGATATTCAATTTAATTTAAAGGATCCAATTTAATATTAAATTTTTTATAATTAATATATATTGGCTATTTAGATGTAGAGTTAGGAAAACAGGTTGAACTCACAGGCTAGCCCGTTTAACTCTCAAAATTTGACGGATTGAATTAAATAAATTAGCTCATTTTTTAAATTGGTCTGGGCTAGCCCAACTCATAAAATAGCTAGTTTGGCCTGTAGACTAGCATTTTTTTAAAAAATAATTTTTTATTTTTTAATCACATTATATCTTTTTATAAATCTATAATAATGATATTATTTTTCAAATATATAATTTATGACTCCTAAATGTTCTTTACATTTGAAATATAGTGTAAATTCTTTTTACAATATGCAAATAAAAATTTTGTTGTAGTTTGTAAATTGATGATTTATTAGTTTTTATAGAAATATTTTGAATATATATTATTTATTAATCTTATAAGATCTATTAATTGAAATCATAAATATAAATTCATGAAAAAAAATAATGTGAATTTATATTCAAATTTTCTTTCTTAGTGCAAAAGATAACACACCTAAGCGAGAAGATGATTAATAATAAAAATCTAGCAAAATAAATTTTTTTGGTTGAATTCTATGTTTATTTTATTTATTTACAAGTTCTTTAATTTCTAATTTACTTTAAAATGTAAAATAAATATATATATTTATATTTTATAAATTTTAAATTATTAAAAAAATTTGATAATTTTTTGCAAGCTAGCCCACTAAAAAATGAGTTAGTTTAGGTTTTTCAACTTGCTTTATCTAGTAAGCTGGCTCAGTCCAACTCACAAAAATGCCAGCCCACACAGGCTAGCTTGAAGGTTGGCCCATAATCCATTTGTCCAGTGCTATTTAGATGTACTTTGCACAGTGTAGATTTAATGTAGTGTTAATCTAAAATGTACCGAGTATATCTAGAGAGTCAATATATAGTAATTATAAAAAAAAATTTAATATTAAATTGGACCCTTCAAATTAAATCTAAATCATATTAAAAATGAAAAAATTATTAAAATTATTTTATAATTTTTATAAATTTTTATATTAAAAATATAAAATATAATAACGGGTTAAATCTGGACTATCCAAATCAAAATTTAGATGGTTCAGACCTTATTATAGTGATGAGCACTCAAACCAAACTCACTCCATTCACTTTTATCAAGAATCAAGAAATTAAATTAAAATTTATAGTAATGTTTTTATGAGAGAATGAAAAAAATGTATGTAAAGAACAATTAAGTAATGCGAGTTGTGATAATTATTTTTCAGTCTCTAAAATATATCTATCAATTAATTTTAAGAAAAAATAATAGAGAAGTTTTAAGGAGATTGATTAATTCAAATTAGATCACAAGTGTCAAACTCAAAAAATTTATAAGTTTAATTTTCAATTTTATAATTTCATTGTGATAAATTTATAACTTATGTTTTAAATTTTAACAAAAAAATAAATTTTTTTATTTTATAACCATGTTAAAATTTAAAAAATAAGTTACAAATTTAACATAACAAAATTATAAAATTGAGAGTCGAATTTACAAAGTTCTAAAGTTTAATACTTGAAATCTCATTTGAATTAAATGATTGTTTTAAGATTTATTTGTCATTCCCCTTAGTTTTAATATGAAAAGATTTTTTTACTGTTTTAAGAAATAAAAAAATGATCATTAAAACTTGTAATTTGGTGTACCGTTCTAGTCATTTCTTTGATAAAGTAAGTCATTTTTTTAAAAAATGTAATAACTAATTTTTAGTTTTGAAATTCATCGATAAAAAATTTGCATAAAGACACTTGTAAATTACTATTTTGTTCTAGTCATTTTTCAACAAAAAAAATCATTCCTCAAAAGAAAATAGTAACTAATTTTTTGTTATTAGAATTTACTCATAAAAGAATTGCATAAAATCTTATAAATTATTATTCCATTTTAATCACTTTCCTAATAAAACAAGTCATTTCTCTCTCAAAAAAAAAGTAGTAACTGATTTTTAATTGTTAGACTTCACTAATAAATTTTAAAACAAAGATAAATATGTTATTTCATTAAAAACATGTCGTGCAAATTTCTCAGGAGAAGAAAATAATTATCACACTTGCTCATTTCTTTTTTTTTTTTTGGTACAATGCTCATTTCTAATTGTTATTTGTGAGATAATTTTTTTAATCATTTTTTCTATTTTTATTCTTCACTTTTTTTGAATGAATCATGAAAAAACTATCATCAAAAGTCAATATCAATAGATTACCATTATATCTGTATCTACACATACGCAGATCTATATCTATATTATAACAAATAAAACCTTACGATTATAACTATAAGTAATCCATATGACTCATTGATTATTAAAGAGAATTACATTAAAGTTTTATATAAGAAAATTAATTATTATAAAGTTTATTGATAACTGAACTAAACTATATTGACAACACAACCAGTTTTCAATACAATTTAGTTCAATTATTAAAGGACTTTGCAATAATTAATTTCTCTGTATGAGACCTGATTGTAATTCTCCCTAATTATTATGCATGCTTCTTGCAATGCAAAAAACATGTTTATTATGTATAATATAGAGAAAATTTCATTTAAAATCCCTTGATCATACTTAATAAAAAAGAAAACTCATTAAACTCTAAAAATTCTCAAACCATAGGCATCAAAGTAAAATTAAAATGCAGAGTAAAAATGTAAAAAACCCTCAATACTAAATACAATTAACTAATAAAACTTATAGTAATTGAATGATTAACCCATTTAAGAGATTACCAAGTTTTAGTTTCAAAATAAGGGATCCTAAGTTTTCATAATCAAAATAAGTTTAGATCAATCATAATCTTTTATATTAAAGTAAAAATAAGTTACGAAAGTATGAGATACCTTAGAGGAGTGAAAGAAATTAAAAACAGTTGAAACAGATTTGAAGTGAGCTAAGGCAATGCTTTGTGGCTTGTGCACGCTAAGTCTCGGCATGTTGTTCTTTGTGCCATAAGCCGCGGTGTGTTGCATGTTAATGACAGCAGAATTGGACAACTTTCGACGCGTCTCGATTCTTCATCCGACGTCTGAATGACATGATCTAAGTGTCTATAAAAATCTCTTTTCATGAACTAGCTAATGACATGTGTTTCACTTCCATACACCCAAACACAATTTTATTACTTTTTACAACTTCTACACAAAAAAGGTGTTCAAAACCCATAACAAGTGCTAATAGCCATCCTAACACCCAAATCATACTCATTGGATCTAGAACTATCAGTACAACGCATCACATGCACTTAAATATCAGTATAACGTAAAATCACTCCTCAACCCCTATTTCACCAAAAACAAAAGGGGGAGGTAATTTCATTGCATTGCATCAAAACCAACCATAACATATTTGAAACATCATTTTTTACATTGGCACTAGTATTTTGGCTCTATCAACTTATATATCTCATCATATACAAATATTCAGAGTCCAAAATACAATTCAGACATTTGTAACAATAAAATAGTGCAAGTGCAACAACATCCTACCTAGAATTGGCAACAATAATCTATTACATAACATCAAACACAATTCTAGAGGTATACATTAGGAATGAACTAATTGTTAACCTCTTGAGCCTTCTCTCTCTTTATATTAGAGTTAGAGCCGTAAAGTGTTAAATGAAAACTACTCAGTAAATAAGGTAATACCTACCCTATGCAATTATATATTAATTATAAATCAAACACATGCATATAAAACTAAATTCTTAAATCATGTTTAACTACATATCAAAGCTTATCAATATCCCTTTAACTCATTTCCATCTCACATGCCCTAGGTGCATTGTCATAATACATTTAGACATGTGACCATGACTCGTTATTCACACGACTTGCCATATCATAATCATGTGACATATCATAAGTTTACATAGGCAATGCTTAACTAACTTTATACCCTCCTTATTTTCTCTGATTGAAAACGTGGACTATAACACTGACTGGACTACCCAAGCTCACCAATTGTGAGGTGTAACCCTGCCAAAGATCACATGACTTACTTTTAGACCACGGCTTCCCTTACTCTCAAATTGTTGGGGTATCGTACTCCTAAGCTATTCTTCTCAATAAATTAGTGGAAAAAGCTAGGTTCTAGTCCCTAACAAACTATGGGACAGTTCCTCACAAATTGTGAGACAAGGCTATACCCTTGTACATTGGAGGACAGCCTAAATATCATATAAATTTTTCTGTACTCTCAATCTTTAGGCAAACTCCTGCCCACTGATCATACCATAAACAATGCTCACTCATTTTCACAATTTTCATTTATTGATTATCACAAACATACGTTGGGCTTATGATCTTACACTACCTAAGTAAGCATCAAGTTTGATTTCCACTTATATCACATAAACACATCATTTTTAACCTCTTATACTCCTTTTTCTCATGTTCATCACCAACTACTCATTCAAAACATATTATAAAGTGAATTTCATTTTGAACATCAAATTTGCCATTGTAAAACTTATTTCAAAATCACTTTTGCATACTTAATACACATTAAGCAATCATGCAAACACAAGATTTTCATTACATGTTAAACTCATCACAAGTTAAAATTCACAAACTAAACACATAAATTACATCATATAGCAATTAACATATAACTATTCAAAATAGCATTTTCTTGATTACCTCAAACTT